AATAGGTGATTCATATGGAATATTAGCATCGCTTTGAGGATATGTATGGATGTGTTGTCGAAGAAATGACGCAAACATCCATACTCCAATCGTAGCAGCAAATGTTATCATTCAGAAATTATTTTCAATATGTCACTTTTGTTGTAGAGTTTAAATAAAAGAAGTATTTTAAAAAGATCTTGACCTTCGTATTTTGTACGTATTCCTTTGTCACTATAGCGCTGTAGTTCCTGCGATGTGGCAGACGCTGACGAATCAGTCGAACTCGACTTGAATTGTTGAACGAGTCGTTGCATTAGATTGAAATAGAAGTCTCGCATCCAAGACATGGTGTATATCATAATTATTTTTACTTAGCATCGTCAACCAGCTATGACAATGGATTGGACAGTCGATCACTGATGACTAATCTCGAAGAATTTATTGGAAATATTACTACATAGCGCATCTGATTAGAAGAAGGCTTACGATTTTATAGTTACGCTGTAAATGGCATTGGGATCAATTTGTATTACTAATATCAAATTTAAACATTAAAAGTATTGAAGTCATCATTTGTTAACAATATAATCGATTATCTTCCTTCTAGACTGAAAAAGAAATCGTTCAAAAAGAACTTTTTCTTTCAATAATTTTCTATTCGAACTATTTTTTTCAATTTTTAAAAGTTTTCTTAAATCTGATTTTCCATATCATTCGTCGATATCATATTTGGTTAACAAAAGCAAAATATCCATAGCTTCAATTCTTTTCTGTCGATGATAATAAACTCATATTTTATTTATTTCAATAAAATTAATAATTAAAATGATTAAATGTGTTACTTGAATAAATATAAGCAATATTAGTAAGCTATACAATCAAAATATTCATTATCTATTACTTTGTCTGCTAAATTAAAACAAAGTTTATTCTTTGTCACTAATCATGAGACTACTACGACAATCGTTCTAATCGAACTTGTTCATTATCGTTTGTTGTAATAATCAATTGTTGTTCATCGTGAACTTCTAATTTTCGTAAATTAGAAATCAATGTTCTAAATACATCTTCTTTTTCTATGTTTTCTCGTGAACCACTTATTTCTGTGGAACAAAAATCAGAAATTTCCCATCGATTAGTTGTAGAATTATGTTTCAAAATACAATATAGATCATTCACCACGTGCATATAAAGTTTAAACATATTTGGATCTAGACCATAACCCTTTATTTCAATTTTACAGTTAACATTTCCAGGATGGTTGGGATAATCAACAATTTTCCAATCACCTTCAACATCAGTAATATGTGATGACATGATGATATTATTGGAATCGGATAATTATCTTTTAAGAAATCTATAATAACAATAGAATCAGAAAAATAAAAATAAAAACAAGTTTTCGCATTCAGCAAAAAAGAAACGATTTCATTTTTATTTTCGTAACGTAGTTTTGTCACTAGTCAAAAACGCATAATGCCCATCTTTGTAAAACGAATTGTCAAGGAACGAGAGAAAGAAAAGAAAAAGAAAAGAAATAGTATGCACTATTTTCCTTCATCCCTTTAGTTTAAATGCAGTCTTTGCCTTCACATAGTATTGTCTAGTCATTATTCACTTGTATTGATGTGTCAGCTATGCTGAATATAAGCACATGTCCAATTATCTTATAAGACTAAAATAATGCAGAACACTTAAATATAAAAACACTAGGAGTCAATGCGTACAACATCGTCGATTAATGAAAAAAGGTTAAAAATGCGCAATACAGAAATATAGTGCCTTCTAAGTGTACATTTTCAAATTTTATATCAAACTGAAAAACTTTAATCATATATAAGTGTACTACGAATAGTATCGTAACTTAAATAATATTTATAAACGTAGGTTGATGAAAAGACTTTATGAAGACGCTTGAAAACACATTTTAAACTACTTTATTAAAAATAAGAAATTATCTATTATATATCTCCTTATTTATCTGATATTTTAAAAAATTTATTCTAGACTTCTTTTTCCATTCTACTTGTATTGAAATCAAACAAACTGCTAGATAATTATAAGAAAAATGTTTATGAGATAGTGATCTATTTCTTGCCCTGTTAACAATTTATTTTTTATTTCTAAACTTGTTCTTACTCACTCGTAAGAATGCTCTTAAAACTACAAATTTAGGTGTGGATGTGATTATTATCTTCTTTTTATGAACACTGATACTCACACCAACATATACCCTCATTCATAGACACAGAACTATTCGATATGCATCAATATATGATTAAAAAGTTTTGGTTTATTGTACTTAGCCGTCATTTGAAACTCAGAAGTAAAATTCCATGACCAATATTAAATAAAAAAGGTAATATAGTTACAATACTGCAACGATTAAAAAAAAATTGACGAAATTTTCTGTTGAAAAACTAATAACATTCCATATATAAACGGAACTTGATTAGAGAAACGTAGCATGATGAAACAAGAGTAGTTCTTTATCAACATCAAAATCAAGTTTTATATTATGAAGAAACTGGTCTTGTGAAATGAATCATTGTTCTAGGTTAAGTCATTTCTTTTATTTATCTAGCACTTTACTTACCACCCGTTTAGATGTAGTTGAATTTATATCCGTATTTCTATCCTACGAGTCTAGAATTAGTTAAATCAAATCTCGATGAAATTACTTGTCGATGGTCTGGGTAACGAAAATGGAATCATATTTTGTAGCAAAGAATGCAAAAGCACCTAGTGGTATTGAGAAAAAAAACATGTTCATTTTTTAAAAATCAAGTTCAATGCATGAAACATGTCACAAAAGTAATTATATTCTTTATTGAACCAAAAGAAAAAATAATCAAAAAATGCTTTATATAAGAGCATTGAATAACAAACCGAATTTGTATCATCTAGAAAAATCCTTTGTAAAAAACATTTTTCTAACACAAAAGGTGCTTTTGTCTTTTGTGAACCAATAACTTTGAAATATTTATTACGAGAACATTTTTATGGGATTGTTTGTGCTTGAATTTATCGTCAACTTTTTCGCTTTTATTTGATTGTGTGAACCTATAAAAGATCCATATCCACACTCAAACCCTGTTGATATTGATATCACCCTTAGCTGACCTTTCTGTCCTGTTTATCTTGTCTCTCCCTATTGCTCTCTCTTATATAGGCATGTGTTTTTTTTGAAGAAGTTATACTTCGAAGATATAGAGTGGGAGATAAACATCAATATCGAAGGTGGCGGTAAGCTACTCCATCCAGCTTATCGCTATAATAGGTTTTTCGTATTCGATTATTCATTTGATGACATAGATAGATGTTTGATATTGAATCCATCGTAACTCCGCATTAATAGCAAATAATTTTTTTTCTAGTTTTATTTTCAGACATAATTCACTATACAGTGCACTAGATTCATATGATTTCAGGTCATGATTTTCAATAGCTTTAAATGAACGATTATGTTTCCTCATCATTGAACAATCATCTCGATCAACATATAATCCATCTGGTCTGTTAAATGAACGTAATAAAATCTGTTTTCCACTTTCTGATAATGGAATTATTTAGCATCTTGATTTTGTTGATCGGTAACATCAAAAATTCATTAGCGTTACCTCCAATAATACAATGACAACGACGAAGTTTTGAATAATCAATAACATCTTATTAAAAAACATTTTTCATTATGATGATTAAACCTCTTGGATGGGTATGGATCAAGAGAAACCCATAATCACATCTACTCCCATGCCTTCTATATTGTCTTTCTTAATATTCGCACGACCAGAGTTCACATTTTGTATGCTGATATTGTGGCAACTGTAAAACAAATCACATGTACATATGTGGTTGGTTAAAGGCTTAGATATCAAGTATGAGTATGGATATGGACCCACAGATGACCCATATCCACCTATGCCTTATTTTGAAATAGATATAAGTTAACGAGGTCTTTTCACTATCTTGGTTTCTTTCACATTCCAAGTTAAACCAATCCTATCTATGACGATTATCAAGAAGCTTATGATTGCGAGTGGCAAATAAATCCACTTGTTAAGTTATTTGAACATTTTGTTTGCTTAAATCAAATTTGGTGTAGGAAAGAAACTTTTCAAAAATGTGTGAGTTTCGTATTCTAAATCCTACAAGAGATGTAGCAACGAGAATATGTTATTTACTGCCACCTATAGAGCATATTGTTTCATTCTCAACTTTTTGAAAGTTTCTTTTAATGGTTGATGTTTTTGCAAAAACAACAAATCTATTGCAATGTAAAGAACAGAACATAAAAAGCATGTGATTGTTACAGTCTTCTTTTAGGTGTCGACTTGCATCATCAATAGGTTGCTGACTCATACGTTTCGTTGTAAGGTAGGAGCAAGATCAAACAGCTTATCATAGTATCTCTCCAGTTTATGCTTTATGGAATCATTCGAATTAATTGACCTTTTAAAGCCTGCGGATTATCATGAGAATCAAAAAAGGTACAAACTGATCAGTGTGGTCGTCCTCTCTGATACTCACAATAAACATGATCAACTTGTCATACCCGATGGTGATATATTTCACAAACAAGCAAGATTGGTATAATTCATATAATGCACGTGCTACTGAGTCGACAGTAGTGTTTAATAACTAGCTAGACACGCTGCCCACATCGAGACAAGGTTGTCATATGCGGCAACCACGAACTTGACTTTCAAAATCTAACGAAAGAAGAAATTAAATCACGAATTCTGACTAATTGTCACTACTTAGACAATGAACTTATCGACATAGAAGGTATATCGATTTATGGTTGCTCTTGGCCATTTTCCAAACATCAGCCTCTGCAATTATCTTCAATACCAGCTAATATCGACATCTTGATGACGCATATTCCACCTAGATACATTTTGGATTTAACCTATCAACCAGAGCAAGGCATGCCGATAGAGCCGTGTGCCAAATGTGAGAATGCCATCCACGGTGAATACGGACATTGGGATTCAAGGAGTTTGATCAAAGAAATTCGTAAAAGAATAGAACCAAAAGTTCATTGTTTTGGGCATGTACATGATAGTTCAAGTTGTAAATATTCTAGAACAGGCTCAGGAACGATGTTTATCAATGCAGCCACGGACTTGACAAGGAAATGTTACAAATTTACGTTCTATGTCGATTTACAGCAGTATTTCTAGTTGAAGAATAAATTTCTGCATATTGGTCGATCGAGCCATCTGAAGATGAGTATTCAATTTGGCCTAAATTGCGTAAACATCGATTGTTCGTATGCATCCCTCATTCATAATCATTCGCGTTATGTTTTACATGTTTCATATACGAATCCTATAGTGTAAAAATGGGAACATGATTGCCATCAGTTATTGTTCCAGAAACAACCGCAAAAGGTGGCGTTAGCAATGCTATCGTAACGTTCTCTAATCGACTGCCATTAGAAATGAAATCGAATATACATCTTTATGGTCGTGCCTAAGTCACAAAACCATTTGCATTCGATCTTGTCCTTCTGTAGAAAATCAAGAAATTTTTCAGAAACCCTTATTGTTTAGCTTCATGTTGGGTGTGGGGTGGTGTTGGTGTGGGTGTGGCTGTGTGTGATTGAGAAGGAAATAATCCCTCCATCCACACCCACACCCTTTTTTTAACTGAAAAAATATTTTTTATTTCTAGTTCAAACGGTCATTTCAATCAAAATAAAGTTTATCAGCATGCGTTTATAATGAACAATACACGTGATGTTTTTTCTCTTCAAACTGATTCTTATGAAATATTGACGATGACGATTGGCAATAATAAAAGATATAATAACAATTATGATTCTGTCCAACATAATCCTTTTTAATTATGTTTTTCATTCTATTGAAACCGAAGACAAATAATGCTTTTGAGACCATAAAAACTCAATCAAATTGAAAAGCTATTTAAAATCTCTTTTTTTCGACATTAAATCAGATTTAAAATGTTTGATTCAAAAGAAAATATTTGCTTTATATAATGTCACGACATAGTTTCTTATGAAACACATTTCTTCATTCAAAAGAATATTTTTGAATTAATATTTTTTATATTGATAAGAACTATATCAACAGCATGATCGATAGAAAAATATTGTTTTTGTCGTTTTGTATCAGCTGTACACATGGTATATGAATAAATCACATATGTTCAATGCTTATGAATCAGAACCAAAAAAAGATATCGTTCGAAGAAAGATAAAGAGAACGTTAGATATTTGCTGTTTTGGCTAGGAAATCTATTTTTAAAAAAATCTTCTAGGAACTTGATCATACGTTTCCGAGAACATTAACTCATCATATTCAACTTTCCAAACTCTTTACAACGATATAATTTTTATCACACGTTTACGAAATCAAAAATTTTGAACCAGTTGATATGTAGTGGAAACAATATGTATCACGTTTTAAAATTTTGTTTCCTTGATCAGATATGTCAGTTTTACCGAAATTCAGGCATTTTTTACCAGAATTCATGAAGTTTCTTCTAGTACAATATGTAATATTGGCTAGATAACATTGGAGATTAGCATTCATCGGTGTGAATAAACGAAAAATGTAATAATGAGCCTCACCATAGCACAATCTTGAGTTTCCTTTGGTAAAGATGATTTTTTACAATGCTTATTAAATTTCGGTTTTCCATACACTTTTAACAGTCAAAATCTCCAGATGGGTGTGGGTGAGAGTTAATACAAGCAGAACCCACGAACTCATATTCACAGTTACATCCCATCCAAAGCCACACCCCACATTCACACCCATACCCACCCACACTAACACTCCACACATCATACTCACCAACACTCCAGGTCATCATGATGTGGTAGATTTTCTTCTTTGCCGTCGCGGTACGACCGCGGCAGATTCTCAGCTGTGATAAACATCTCTGCTTCAAGACTGGAGCCTCTGCTCATTCTCCCTCGAATAAAGTCGATCGATCGTCTGAAATTCGTATCGATACCGGTTCGACCTCTACACTCGATCTAGTGACAGAAAGCAGAATTCATCCGATTAATTGCAATACAAGATAAGTTCCATATCTTGCTTAAAAGAACCAATGATTTATTGTGGAATAAAAGTAGAAAGAACTACACTACGAATAAGTTTATATGTATGAATATTATCTTAAGTATTGATCAAGTTCATTTGTTATCAGGAAATTTATCGAATAAATCTTGAAGTTTGTCGATTGGAGCTGTGATAAGACCAACAACTGTTTCAAAAGGCGGCGTGTTTGGTGCATTCGGATGAGATCTATGTGAATAAAATGGATGAATAGAAAAAGAAAATAAGAGAAAAAAACATACCGAGTAGGAGCGAACATTTTTGTTCGATCATATGATCGAGCAAGTGAATCATTCTGTTCAGCTGTGATGGCCTTTTCAAGTTTAGGATAATCATTTTCTTCCTCACTGCATTTCGAAAAGAACAATAGAGAGAAAAACAGAAGAATATGTATGCCTTTACCCCGCTATATGATAGGTGAAAAAGTCGACAATCTGGTCGAATGTTGTACGATAATCTGGATTAGACACCGATGCTGTTTCCAGTTTATGTAAGAGATCTTTAATCTATTGAGAACAAGGACAAAGTTAATGAAAGAAAACAAAAGACGACTTACTTCTTGATGTTCAGCACGATTTTGATGAGCTAATTTCTTTCCTTCGGTATCTAAATACTTTTGAAGGGCCGGATACAGAATGAGTTCTTCGGCAACAATATGTCGAGCGAGTTCCCATCGAAATTCATTAGCCCAACGTTGTTGTTCATCAAGATTGTCTTCAGCCAAGGTATAGTTCTGCAATGTGGAGGATCAATGATATTGGCTCAAAATAACATTCAAAATTCAAACCTGATAGGCTTTCTTTATACTAGCATGATCATTTTTAATCAAGGCAGAAATCGTTGAAGACGTCGCCATCTAAGTGTCGTTAATAGTAAGACGAAATGTTAATTGACGTAGTAGAGAAACTGCAAAAAATACAAAATGTAACGCTTCTTCAAAGCATAATAACAATAAATACGATCAAAATTTTGTTTTCTCTTGGGCTATTTTTGCTCGTTCTGCATATGCAGAGAGCAAAAGAACATAATCGTAAAATGTGTTTTTACATATAGGGGTCAAACTAGAGACAAGTTGTGCAAGAAGGTATTTTGTCTCGCAAAGAATCAATCAAAAAAAACCTTGTTCTTTTTTCTCAGCAAACGATACTTTTTATTGTGTCAGATGGACGATCAGAATACTCAAACAAAGGTTAAATCTCAGACTTCCAAGAAGAAAATTTCGTCTTTGGAAGAACGTGATTGGTTTTAGAAATTTTTCCTAAGATATGGCTCTATGGATTGATTTTGAGTGGATAGAAAGGGCATATCGAATTTATTGAGAATGAAAATACTGTTTATTGCCAAATTTTACTTGTTTCCGTGACCTTTCAACAACGATGTTATCTTTATCAGACTGTGTTCTCACTTATACTCTTACTATACGCTTAACGGTGAAAAAAAGAAAAGAGAACAAGAAGAAAGAAAAGCAAAAGAAAAAAAAGAAAAGAAGAAAGACATATGATTGAATAAGTATTTGCACACAAGTGCACCAATTTTTGGTGATAGATGTCTTTCATTCACCGTAGAATATCCAATATAGTGGCCGCCCTCAAAATGATACTTTCAATCCACATGAGTGGGCTTCATTAACATCCTTGACATACTACGTCTGTGGGTTTCTGCTTTTCCATAAACCTCAACTTTAAGTTCTTTTTTTCTGCACTAGTCTTTTGCACATGTAGGAAAAGCCATTAGTGGATTCAATTTTTAGTAGCGACAATTCGTTCCATGTAGAGGGCTGCAGGGTACAGTATGTTCGTAACCTGTAACCTGCCCTGTAAAAATTCTGCAACCTAATCCTGTCCTGCCCTGTGAATTTTTTCGCGTACCCTGCCCTGTCCTGCCCTGAGACTTTTTTTCATAACCTGTAACCTGCCCTGCCCTGCTATATTTGATATTACAAAAAAATTCATAACTTTTCATCGACTTCGTATATCAATTCTTCTACTTTATGTTGTATTTTGCTTCGATATTCTTCTTCGTATAAAATTTTTCAAAAGATGTCTATAATGTTTGATTCGATAAATTAATAGCAGGTTAACAGGTTATGACAGGGCTGCCCTGTAACCTGCCCTGTAAAAATTTCGTAACCTGACCATGCCCTGCCCTGCTACTTTTGCAACCTGCCCTGTCCTGTCCTGGCAGGGCAGGGCAGGACAGGACAGGTTATGGGCACCCTGCAGGGCTCTAGTTCCATGGCTCTTGCCAACTCTAAAAACCAACGTGGCAGGATAGGTCTCGTGGAGCTTTATTGATTGATGTGTCTCAATGGAGATGATGGAAGAAACTAATTCAATCATGATATTTTTACCAAGATTGAATCGTTTGAGCTTTAGCTTTCACCAAAATATGGAGTATTATGTGTAGTTTATTTGTAGAAAGTTTCATCTCTATCTACCAAGAAATTATTGTTAAAGATGGCACAGCACGATAAATTGTGTCTTTAGCTTATGGGTACACAGCTCATGCTCATGAACGCTCGTCTACAGCGTGAGCGTTTCTTATTTAATTCTAATATGCAATAAATCAGAATTATCAATTACACTTTGAGGGTGTGAGGGTGAAAGTGATGCCAAAGTGAAGACCCTCACTCTCACCTCAACTACACTCTCGCCTCACCGACGCTCACATCCTCAAGCCTTGTTTGCGTTGTTCCTGAACTGCTTGATTGAGCCTAGTCAACTCCCATGTTGTTTTCACTGCGTAAACGCCTGCTAGGATGTGGATGTGGGTGCAGTTCATCTCTTCACTCAGATCGACACCCACACTCACACCCAACACCCATCCAGATCATTCCAAAGAGTATTACAATATCGTAGGTTGCCTGTTACAGTTAATAGCTGTTTCATATTGATCAGTGATGTGCCCTTTTTGCTGTGTAGAAGTAGAGTCATCGTGATTAGAGGAATTATTTTCAATGCTGAAAACTCAACAAACACCATAACTCTACTTTTTCGAGAGGATGGAGCTTACATCAAAACTAAAATTTTCTAAAAGTTTTCTGTCATTTTAACTTATCTTGAGGTCTAACGTTATTACTCAAAGACATTTAGTAGCGAAAAACATTTTATAGCGGCATAACCACTTCATAGAACTGTATAACTTGGATTGAAATTGATTGATAGTAGTGACTCACACTTGAGTATGTTCCTTTCATAAGTAATATTTCAGTAATACCATCCGTTATCCTAACCCAAAAATCAATATTTGACTTCTCAGCTCTGCTAAACTCAATTAAGAATACGAAATCTGAAATAGTCCTTTCTTTCGATAATGATTTGTGAATAGCAAGGATTTTCAGAGTGTGAGTGTGGGTGAGGCTGGGTGTGCTATCTAAGATATGATCAACCCACACCCATCATAGATGTTTTTCTCTTTCCATCTTATAAGTGAGTCTCTCTTCTGTTCTCTCTGAGATATTCAACATAATTTCTCTCTGAATTAATAATGATGTTTATTTATGTTCGATATAACGTATGCTTGGATTAAAGTCTAGAACGTGACAAGAGTAACTCTAAGATGTCGATGTTGATGATGTTTAATTCATATGTAAGATTAATGTCCATGGAAGGATAACTGCATTTAGTTGATGAGATCATTTGACCATGTATCTTAGGCTCTATGATAAAGCGTATTGATTGAAAAATATAAACCATATCACACGTAGCTTTTGATCTATTTGTGTGGTTTTTTCAGTATATTATTTTATACAATAAAATTTTATTCAGGAAAGTATTTTCTGCAATGTCGAGTTAACACGAACTCTATGGTTTTTAAATATAGAAAACAGTCAAAGTAAACATTATTATTTACTTATGAATAGATTCATGATCGAAATTGTCACTGTCACTTATGATGATTCTCATCGATGACGTGATTCTAAATCAAGATATTAATTTTGTTTTCTAACCCTCAAGATACAAAACTTCAACTATAAGTTCTATCAGGATGTTATAATTTTGTAATTAAAGTAATATTTTCAGAATGTTTTGAACGTTTGATTATTGAGACAGAATTATTTTTGACTATTAAATATATTTTCAACGAGCAAAAGTATTCAAATATGATTAATAATAACCTTGGGAAGATTTTAGAATAGAAGCATATACAGTCTTTATTAAATTACTTATTTTTATCTATAGTGTTTAATGGAAGTATCAAAAAGAAAAATAATTTAAGAAGACAGATATCATTTCCGTTCGAATGAGAAAAACAAGTGTCTGAAGATCAAAAGAGTGTGATGTTGTTAAGATTTTGTTCGTCAAAGATGTTACTGACATCATTCTTTTTAGTTCTAATGTTTTTAATAACTTTTACTTAACAATCAGGATAAGTCATAAATAATAGTATGATAAAAAGAGTTGAAAATTCTCCATTTCAGTTAGCTTGAACAGGCTGACATTTTAATAAATAGTACAAGTGTATTAACAGCTTTTATTTTTTGATAAAAATAATACTCTTGAAGCATTTGATATAGATAATTTTCAGTTATCATCTGAGAAAACAATTGCAAGAGATCAAAATATACTTTACGAATGAGACTATATTAATTCAAACAGAGCAAGTTTTCAAAACTATTCAGTTTAGATGGTTGCCCAAAACTAGTGTTTTATTTTTGAAAGTTCAAAATTTTGTAACAATTAATTTTTCGGTTGACTAAGTAATTCTGAAAATTTGTTCTTTGTTCATTAATACATTGTATCCTTCATAAATTTTGTCTTCGATTTTTATTCTTCATACTTGGTAGCAAGTTGATTCAGTTTCACAACACCACCAATAATACTTAATAATAGTATTTGCTTATCATATGCATGTGAAAACAGATTATTTTGAGTATATTTCTATTACTAATCAAGAACTATGTTCATTTGATTGCATTGACATGAATAGGTTTCATTTTTTTCTTTTATATTACTATTAATGACCTACGCTGTATGGAAACTCTCGACCCTCAGTTGAAAGGCCTTGATTTGTAATCTTCTTCGCATGCTTGAATTTATAAAATTAAAAATTCTCTCTACATTCTGCTCTATCAAAAACATTTGTGAAATATTGCTTCTTTTCTGATTAGCAGGAGCTTTTGCAGTTTTTAGCAGAAAATCTGTTAAGAACAATTAAAAACAAGATTTCTTTTACGATGAGCATCTACTGATGTAACTGGGTGTCGTTATCTTCTGTGATGAATAAGAACGTCTTATTACTAGAATTGAATTCGTCAAGAGAAAGCCGGCATCACATTTCTATATCATGTCATCATCAACATCAAATTAACGCATCTTAAAAGTTTTCGCGGCAAACCATCTGCTTTTTTATCTTATTGCAGAATCGATTGTTGATTTGCTTCAAATAATAATATTATTAACATCTCGTATTGCAATGTATGGTTTTGGTAATGATCTAACACAGACATCATTGTTTTGGTGTAGATTAAGAGCATTATTTGTACAATCTTTCACTCTTATTTCATTTAATATTGTTTGTTTTGCTTCTATTGAACAATATTTATCAACAAGTTGTTATCCATCTTGAAGACAAAAAAGTACAATAAAATTAGCTAAGCTACTTACTATTATTGCAATTATAATTGGATTCTACATGATATACGAGTGTTGGTCCTATTTGAAATTCAATCAACATATGGATGTTATGCATATAATCTCATTTTGTTTAATTATATTACATATTTCTATTATTTCATACGCACTGGTGCATGACCGATTATTATTTCGACAATTTTCAGTGTATTAGCTTATCAAAATGTTCGTCGTATTGTACGACGACATATGTCAATAAATCGACGAAAACTTGATCAACAAT